AAGGTAAAAAATAACTTATTTATCTATATTAAACATAAAATATGAACTGTGAACACATAAATAAAAAAACAGATTAATATAACTATCTACGGAAAAAATAATAACTTATTATAATGGTATCTTATAAAAATAAGCACTTGACATTAAAATTGGACAGGCTCAATATACAAGAAAATGCCTTTAAAAATCTATAACTGTCATCATTAGTACAAGTATTCCGATGACTTCCAAATACGATTAAGTACTTCATTAATGGATTTCATTACTTTTGTATTTACTTATTGTTTATATTTTTTAGGAACCCCTACACATCGAATTCCTGAACCGGAGCAATTGTCTACAACGGCTAAGGTTATTACCCGTGACTGAAAAAATTGAACACGTACTTTTTTCCCTACCTTCAGTCTCTATCTATGTCCCTTTTATCGGCCGACATCATCAGTCTTCATTGTTAGACTATACCGTCAGAAAGCCGAAGCGCTTTCTTTCTTTCATTCTCACACGGGTCAACCAACCCCGGGGATTCTTTGGGTAATTATTATACGTGTGTATCCACCATTCGACCAGCCGTTATAATATTATGGTCGACTTGCCACTGGGAATAGTAATGACTCTGCGGTTGTAGATGAGGTTTAATGACACTGGCTTTAACACCGCCCCATTTTTTTACCATCAAAAATGGAAAGAGCGATAAAAAGAAAAAACTATTCTCAATCGAAACTTGTCACGAAATAATAGAACAGTAAAACCATTTTAAATAAGAGTTTCATTTACAACTATACAAGATTTGATTGATTTAGTTAAGATTTTAGTAGCTACTAAAACACGTATACCTAGGAATATATGACGTATAAGTATGATCATAATATACGGTCTTATTTTAAGCAACAACACATACCTATATTGGTTTCTTAGAATTTCTAAAAGAAAACAAGGTAAGCCCTTCTGCTGTATAGTAGGTTTCGAGTGTACCTCTTTGCCGAATGAATATGATAATAAATCTTTATATACAATGAAAAACAATTTGATGGAGACGATCTGCCATCATATATTTCTTGAAATATTTTTTATATACCTAAATTGCTATTATAAATTAAATTATTAGTATTAATTTTTTATTATATCAATATAATATTATAACATTATACAAGCGGTTCTTCACATGTATGTATCATAATATAACGGTGTGTATGAATGGCTTAAAATTAATCTAAATATTTTGAAATAAATTCATAGTACATAGTGAATATTGTAATAAAAGTTTCAAGTCTCTACAGATAATATTTTTTAAATAACTAAAAAATGTTTAAATATCCAATTTTGTCAAAATTTGAACTTAAAATGATGAATTAAAAATTGTGCATATCATGTATAGTTAAGATTATAAGGTTCATATAAAAAAAACTTTTGAGAAACTCTGTATTCAATCTCCAGCTTTGCTAATTAAAATTGAATCTGAATCACTTTTAGAAACTGTCAATATTTTAACTAAACGCTTTTAACAAAAATGTTGTCTATTTATTTTCGATATTCTACGAATTCTGCTTTTTTGCTTTACCATAACATTGTTATCAACAACTATGGGAAAACACTAGAACATTTCAAATGTCTATAGAAAATGATGATGAATTAAGTAAAAGAGAAATATTTCAAGTTTATACGATTAATATTTTTAAAATAATAGTAGTGTTGTCAAAATATAATCATCAATTGCACTTAAAAATATGTGCCTTACGCCCAAACTTTTTTTATAATCTTCAGTGAAAAAATACCTTGAGAATGATGTAATACAATTTCAAAGTTTGATATTACCAAACAAAAATTTGTATCAACATTTATCGAAAAAATGTGTGTAAATCGAAAATTTTAAACATCTATTAATGGTATAAATAGACACAAAATATTTTAAAACAATATCATTTTTAGAAAATGAAAATCTGCTGTGGACATTTAAAGTACCTAAGATTTTTTAATATCATACAAGTATACAACTACAAAAAAAAAAAATACAAAATCGATTCTGTCGAAAATTGATGTTGCATTAGTAATGCCGTTTTCCCCCTATTTTTTATTTTATTTTTCTGGCTCATTTTGAAAATTATTCTGTTTTTTCTCTAAAATATCAACTACATCAAATTTGGTGCCAGAAGCCATCTTCAAAGTTAAGGATTGAAGCATTTTTACAGCTCTAAAAGGTGATAATTCACACAAATAACATTATTAAAAGCTATTGTGAGAACATATCATCTATAGCTTCACTACTCAGAATCTAAAATAAGTATACATTTATCTCATTTATCAATTATATTATTTAACAACGTGTGGACAGGATATTAAAATACAGTAACTGGATGTGGATCGACACGCATCGCTTACTACGGCATCAACAGTGTTATATTATTATTTTTTAATTTTTAATACAAAATAATAACTATACGTTCATAAAGCTATTTTGAGCAAAATCTTAATTTACCGTAAGTAGTATTTAATTTTTAAAATATTAAAAAGTTACATTTGGGTAAAATGTATTTATTGTTATTAAATGGAGTTTTATGTAACTAAATATTTCACATTAATTAAGGATGGTTATATATATACTTGATATCTATGTGCCTCCTGAAATGTATTCAAAACTTGTAGAGAGCCCTTGATTACAATTCATAAATACTTTGATTTATGACTAAAAATGTGTTAAGACATTTTAACATGGTTTATGTATATTGTAGATTAAATAGTAGCATGGGGCCTGGAGGATCGATATAGTTCTAACTTTTATAACAATAAATCAAGTTTATAGATTTTATTAAGTATTTAAAATTGAAATTTAGTAACTATAGATTTACATTGAACGTATAATCAACAACGAAATCATCGTTTTAAAAGATTATAAATTACAACACTTTCAATATTAAAATACTTAAAACGTTGGCAATGTAACTTTTAAAAAGTATCGATATCAAAGTATAAAAATGATGAATAAAAATATATCCTAAAGATATAAAGGGTAAGATATGGTTATTTGCTTTAGCAGTTTATAAAAAGTAGTAAGTACTAAATAACATACAGACTAACAAACTAAAACAGCTGATCCATTATTTAAATAATATTTTATATTATATTATTGAGAACTATAAAAATAATTCACTTTACAACTTATACGATTTCTAATAATCCAATATGTTATTGAATAGCTTACAAACAATATTATTTATATTTGATAGGTAACCATAATTATGTATTCGGTAACTAAATAAATAAATAAATGATTTTATGTTTGTTTTTCAACTAAATTTAAATGTACAAATATATTTATAAATGTGTACTAATAAATAAAAAATGCATGAGATTTTTTTTAAAGACAAACCAAGCCAAAAATAAACATGTTTTAAAATCAATACCTATGCAAAAATACACGATTTAATAGTAAAAATTATAAAGCAACCTAATAAACTATGTTGTTATTTTAAAATTAAAATCATATTTACTAACAAGATTTTGAAAGAAAAAAAGTCTAAAACATGCAACCCATTTCGTTATTGATAACCTATTTAAATTAAATTTAACATAAAAATAACAATTTCATATTATTTATTGTATAATTTTACACAATGAATAAAATAATATAAATCGTTGGCATTAAGACTAAATATATTAGTTGAACAATTTTTCAATAATAAAGAATTTTTATGTTTGACAGAATATATGAATATCTATATATATATAATATATACTATCTAAAAATAAATTGAATAAAATAAAACATATACTTTATAAACGCAAGCCTATATATTGAGAATATAAACCTAAATTATGGCTTTATTTGAAATATACCATTTGTGTACACCTACACCATAGTAACGCTTGGCATACACATCACAATTTATTATCAACGGTTGTCATTTAATAAGACCATTTAGTTCAAGACTTGTCAACATAAAATCCCCAAAAAGATAACTAGAAATTTACAAGGGTACTGTTGACAAAACATTTTGTAAAACCATCTTGGCTAAAGGGATGCCGCCTAACGACGTTATTACGGTTGTCCGAATAACTGGGCGTAGAGATTTACTGTTTTATTGAGGCGGCGTCCTTGGTCAGCTCGCTTTCTATCCAATCGTTACTTGTCCAAGTACGTCGTTCCAAAAATTTCGATTTTATTCTCCCTTTAACATGTTCATAATTTATAGCTGAATTACACGCCGAATTTTAGAACACAATGCTCAGTCTTTTTTTACGACCCCATTTGACCCAAAGACCTATTTATAAAACGAATATTTGAATTGTTATTGTTGCGTCAAGTGGTTTAGAGATATTCGAGGCACGTGCTAAAGAATACTTAAATTGAAGATTTAAACGAGCAATAAAAGCGGTCAAAGGCATAATACAATTACCATAGAAATATGTATAGTAGATGTTATTAAAATAACAAAACAGCTTTATCCCTTAACCATTATATTATATTTTGAACAATAATTTATAAGGTACTATTTTATTATTCAGTAAGAGTTGACGATGACATTTTACTTTTATCGCCCACAATGTTTGTAATTAGTTTAGCGGTTTGTAAAATAATGACACCAGAAATTACGTATTTTAGGGCTAGCCAAAAATAGGTCTGAATTAGGTGAATCGGAGCGACCGTGACACTATTATAAATTTGCGGGGGAAGGGGAGAGCAGAGGGCCCTTGCCGTCCTTGCTTGAGCACATCGTGGCGAATCGCTCAAAAGTGGGTCACTAGTCACAATGTTAGCGGCCCTGCTATAGCCTTGAGCTAATAACTGCACGCATTCATCCGCTGTCTGTGATTAGAATAATAATACACAGACGGACAACAATCAATTAAAACAACGAAACTGATTTCATAATAAATAGCATTTACGATAATTTCAAACACGTATGGTCAAAGGGAAAATACAAACTGCCCCAGCACATATGATTTCTCCGTATAACAAATATAAGTTAAAATTAAAATTGTATAATTTATTTCAACACTGTTACCTTCAATGAAATTGGGATCATCGTCACTCAAATGACTCAAGTCCATGCACTTCGAATCTGAAAAAAAGTGAAACTAGAAATTATAAGCTCGAATTGTGTGAAGTCAATGTCATAGTCAGAATTATATTTTTGTTTTTAGGATAGTGCACCTGTAATGGTTTATATTCTAACGATTATTTTCTGAGTTAAATACAATTTTTACGTAACACTGTGTTTAAAGCATTAATTTAAGTGATTAAAACTAGGCAATACTTAACGAATAAAATGGTAGCAATAAAGTAACCAATAAAACACATTGTATTACATAATATGTTAGACAAATACATAAATTAAACATGCAAATTACCTCCAATGAATGTTTGATCATCTTCGTTCAAATTACTGAGGTCCATGCACTTTTGATCTGAAAATATAAATACTATGATATAATATACAAATGTAGATCCACTATTAAACATCACAAGTTAAATTTATTCATATTTTCCAAATTCATGAAAACAGCTAGTGGAATACACATAATTCATAAAATAAAATAAAATGCAATCGCACAATCAACACAAAACTATTTTAACATATGGAGACATATTATGTACAAATAAATACTTTTAATAGGTATGTATATGTAAATATGTAAATAATTTCATGTAAATAAGAAATCAATCAAAAATTGAAGTATATTTCATATAATTTATTGTTACCTATAGGTACCATAAACCAATAATAATATTTACAAATAATTTTATTATTCGCAAACATATTTTTAAATGTTAGTCTTATGGTTTTAAAAACTTATTTTTTTGTCAAATTTAACATAAAAATAAATATAAAAATATACGTTCCCAAATGTAATCAAAAAATAATAGTACCTGGTTTAAATTTGTCAATACATTTTATTTTTAATTAAAAAAAAAATAAGAATCGGTATAATTTAAAAATAAATAGTATAGAAATACATCATGCTGAATATAGTCACGTAATCGAACAATAATAATTATAGAAAGCAACTAAATTTAAATTTCGAAAATAATTAATTGTTATATTTTAAAAATATGGAAATAATGAAATTGTTATTTAAAAACTACATTATATTATTATTAACTTGTTTGGATTATGAGAAAATTAATTTAATTTTCACTATAATTGTCTTCTACATTTCGTAAATATATATAAGTTATAAATTATAATAACTAATATTGACATTTTTATTACCACCCACCATGATTTTAAAATTTTTATAAAGCTCTCAGCTTTAACATAACATTTGATGATTCCTCAAGAATATATAATTATAGTGTACAATTCAAATGCAAATATTAATTATCTCAAAATTATTTTAATACAAAATATAATTTGTTTAATATAATATATATAACATTAATTCACCACAACAACATAAGATCAATAATACGTATTTACGTAAGGTAATGGGGTCGAATATTTAAAAAAAAAAGTGTTTTTACTTATGCATAGATACAACAATAATTTCAAAAATTGATGGGCAAAATATTACATATTATAAGTCCCAAAATAGTAGTATAATGACTAACGAATGAATTATTTTTACAAGGTGATTATTTTAAAGGTAAACAATAATTTTCTTGATAGGTATTTTAAAGTTTTAATGGACCAGTAGACCAACATTCTATGGAGTACACCATTGTGCTCTTCCATTTCACCCGTCAATTATAAAATTATAACAATAAAATAATATTATGACTTAAAAAATAAAAATGTCAAAGTTAATGAGTATGTTACAAAGAACCAACATTTATCTATACCATAATACAGATATTAAACCTTACTCTATAGTTAAAGTATATATATATTATAGCTATATATTTATAGATACATAATACTCAATATACCAATATATAATTTCCTGATGAAAAAACAATTCTATTATTTAATACATATTTTAATAATTGTACTAGCTACAAAATCAGCATATAAAATTCCGATATCACAACACTCTTTTGAACGGACTCCAAGTGCGCAATATTAAATTGCCAATTTTTTTTTGTTCTAATTACATTATTAAACAAATTTATAAATAGATAGTGCTGTGTGATAAGAAAAGGGTCAATGGTCAACAATTTGGGTCAAAAATCATAATCCACATAGTTTAAAGTCTAGGTGTTTATTAGAATTCGTTAAATAATCTGTTTTTCCTGTCTGTACCCATTCATTAAATTATCGGCTTCGGAGGACTTTTTTTTAAGTAGAACTTACATACATAATATTATATAAATTGTTGTAGTAAGATAACCATGTTGTTGTTGTTATTAATAGTGCCTGCAGAAGGGTATATAATATGTAACTACAATAATTGAATAATATATTTTCCTTGTGTATAGTCTGCAATGTGTAGAGGCATTTTTTTCAGGTTATTCAGAGGAATATTTCTTATGTTTACCCAATATATAAATGAAAAGAACATGAAATAGTCACAATATATGAACATGGAAAATAAGTAGCTAATTAGTTGAAAAGCTAATTGTAAAACTATAAAAAATCTAAAAATTATAAATGCATAAGCCACGATGTCGCATTAAATTTAATATTTTGTAAATTAAAATTTCACTCAATTTTTTTAATTTTTTACTATCGTTACACAGTCTATAGTCTATACAATTTAGTATAATAACTAATAAGCATACATTTTGTAAAATGTAGCTTGGTGGCTTGAGTGAATCCAACAACACACCTGCAGCGGAGGTTTGAATATAAGAGTTAGGTTTGAATATAAAAGTTAGTTTAGAAGTGAGTATAATCTCGACTCTCGCCACTAGACATAAAAAGATCTTAATATTATGTCTGTGGTAAGTCGCCACTTGAAATTACACGTAATCCGACAAAAAATAATTATTTTTTTGGACAAACCCGAAAACAGCTTTTTATTATATTTCATCCATTTTATGTTTTAGGTATATCAAATTGAATAAAGTATTAAAAATGAAATTTCTATTTTATTCTTAATTTAATAGTTATAGTACTAGGTGCATATTTTTAACATTAATATATCAACTATAGTTAAGTAATTATTAACATTGGTTCAAGGCGAATGATGAAATATTAAAAACAAATTGTTGATTAATACCAATAGGTATATTATTTGATACTTTTAACCTTGAAAGAGAATCTTTCGGAAGTCTGGAGAAAGATATGATCTTTTTGCAAAAATCAGTGCTCATTTTTGCAGTATAATAACAGATTTGTCCTTTAATACACATGTACCAAGGTCAAATTTGTACAAAATATGAGGTGAAGGTATTACAATTAACACATTTATTTTCATCGTAAAAACAGTGTCGCATAAATGCAAATTGACTGGAAATATTATATAAAACAAATATTGGCTATCGTTCACAAAATAGCTTTAAGTTAATTTGATCAATTTGCAATTTAAGTGGGTCAAAAAAAATAGGTGGGAAAGGTAGCGCATTCAGGAATGACTTCACGATTACCTCCAAGGTCAGCAGCAATGAGATAACGCCGGAATAATACACCACATCGATGATAATATAGAAAATAAATAGACATTTATATATTTTTTTTAAAAACGCTCACATAAGTATTATGTCGGTCCTACAAGTGGGCCAATGTCAGATACCTCATGTATGTCAGTAGGTCAAACGCGAATCTTAACAAGATCACTACACAATATTACGCGATACAAATATATACATACATAATAATAAATAAGTATATTATGTATACAATATATATATATTTCACTTTCATTTTCGTCGCATTATTATTCACGCGCGCAAGCGGAGGAAAAAACTGCGGGCTATTGAGTCACACCATACCAAATACTATTGTGCTGATCATATAATTATGTATATCTACGAACTTAAACATTCTTACTGTTGTTTCAACTCTTGCAACAATATAATATAAGGTTAGACGATGGGCACGTAAAATATATTAATATTCTAATTGATCTGAACATTTGTTTTAAATATCGACTAAAAAAATACTTTCACCCTACCCCATAATCAAGGGCGTGTGAAAGTTGTAATGACCTAGGGAATGTCAGACAAGGTAAAGTCTACAATAGAATACAAATATTTTTCTATAATATGCACTTAAATACAAACAAATTAACCAAATAAACTACAAATTATGATTTTCCGTACAAGTACTAGTTATCTACACTAATATTGTAAAGGAGTAAAATTATTTGTTTGTTTGTTTGTAATGGATGAACTCAAAAACTACTTAACCGATCTTAAAAATTCTTTCACCTATAAAAAGTTAAAGATTTCAAAAGTAACATAGGCTGAATTTTATTTAAAAAAAATGTATGATCCTTATAAAAATCCGAGATCTGAAAGGTAAAATCTAAAAATATTTGAACACCATTTCACCGAATATTTTAAACAACGAATTGAACAAAGTTTGAATCATATAGAGTCGGCGTTTTTAAAGAACAGCAAAATTTACGGAGTTATCTATACTAAGTTATAACAATTATACATTTTTGAAATAATGGATTATTTTCAAAAGTTGTGTATTGTTAAATGATAATACCACCCTACTCTATAAAATAAAATCAATTAGAAACAAGGGCAGTTGATAAATTAGCCTAATTACCAAAACTAGGAATATTCTTTTTTCTATGATTATTAAAAATTTATAATTTGTTTAATCATTAAACTTGTAAAAATTGGATTAATATTAATGATTAAAAACAAGAAATGCAAAATAATTTTAAAATATTACTTGTATCGAAACACTTCTGGCAGGTAGTAAAAATAGTATCCTCAAAGATGAAGAATTGTATTTAGATGGTATGTTTTTAAGAGGTTGTTTTTAATTTTCTCGGTAGTTTCATTAATTATAATACACAAAAACACAAGGAACCAAAAGATCTTTTGGTATACCTACTACTTTTTCAATTATTTAATCTTGAACAATCTCTAACACAATTGAATAACGTTTTAACTAGTTTCTAATTCCTAAGAATTAATTTTTTGTATTTCCAGTATATTTAGTTATTACTGATATGACTAAATACCTTTCATTAATCAACCATAATCTTAAAAGACATGTACGCATGCATAGGCATGCTAAACAAATATATTTTATTAATTAGTAATTCTAAAATAAAATTTTATTGAAGAATTTTAAAACTGAATTGACAATTATAAAACAATGAGTCTTTAAACGAGTATGAACAAAAAATAACATAATTTACTTAAATTATTAATATCATAACCAATAATTAAAATAATATATACATATTTAATCACGTGTATTTAATATTGATTTAATGCCCATAAAAACCATATAAATGTGTATAAAAAAAGACAATTTATTATTTATCATTTTTTAAATTAAAATGATAAATTAACATTCATTCATCTGCATTCAGCTGTACTAAATTATTTTTTCAATATT